TTTCAAAGGCCTCCGACATCTACTGTAGCTGTGGCACGGTGACAAAGTTGCAAAAAAAGTGACTTGAGGTTTGGTCATTCAAAGTGACCTGGTGACCTGACCTTAAAAGTTAGGAGGTTCAAACTTGCACACCATGTGTAAAATTGATGAGAGAATAGTCATACCAAATTTCGCGGCGCTACACGCCGCGGTTTTCCCGCTATCCGCGAAAAACCTCAGGGGGGGCGGATATCCGCCCCCCCCGTCGGTGCGCGGGTTAAATGATATGCAAATTTCGAATCGGAAGCCATCACACAAAGCGCTTTCCGCGAAAACTTCAATGTTGACGGTTTTTGCCCCCTGGAGACTACATCGCTTTTCGTCGAAAACATGTGAAACAACACTCAGAGAAAGCATGAAACATGCTTATATGAAATGCGCTCATCGTCCGCGGCTCTGTAGCCCTATCTGTTCCCGAGATTTTCGATGCTTACCGAGAGTTATCAGTAAATACATTTCTCTAAGTCTTAGTAAGTACAGTGTCTCACTTATTTATTAACTTATCAACTTCAACTACCTTAGTTGCCTAAGTTGCCTAAAAACAAACCCCCGGTGGAACCGGGAAGAGAGAAAGCACTAAGAAGTCAATATAGGCGAGATTTTACCTTCGATAACCTCTGGTGACCTGATCGTTGACCAGACAAAAAAAAAGACTCAACACAATCCTTATGAATTTTACGCTCTTTCAAACGCCGCCACGTAGCACAGGTTAGAAGGGCTAGAAGAGTTCAAACACCCTCCAGCAGGGTGTGGAAATCCATGAGCCCCAGCGGGGCTCATTTTCATGTAATATAAGCTCGTTAGCTCTGGTACCTAATAGGCAAGTAACATCCTCGACAAGGTGGCAGGCTAACGCAAGCTCTAAATCTTTTTTTGCAGTAAAAAAATCGACTAAGTGATGGATTAGGTACATTTAGTTTCTGCTCACGCTAATCTTTTACATTGGCTGCTACTTATATACATTATGTAGTTGGACGCCGTTTCCTCGGCTCTGATGTTTTTTTTTTCAGTAATTGGCTGTCTCTTTTTTAATTTCACAATTTCTTCTCACCACCAGCATGCCTTCATTCTTCCATCTCTTTCTCCATTGCATCCTATTCCCCTCTCTCTCCCACTCTTTTTTCTCTCTCTGTCTCTGTCTCTGACTCTCTTTCTCTCTGTCTTTCTCTCTCCCTCTCTCTCTCTCTCTCTCTTTATCTATCTCTCGCTCTCACTCTCCACCTCAAATTTGATCGATGCCTCTGCGAGTTTGATCGATACAATCCTTTCCATTCATTCCCAACTAGTTTCTTACTCAATTTGCAGTCGTGACCTATCACGAATGTTTCATTAGATATCTTATGTTTGCGTCAGTTGCGATGGAATTAATCGATGCTACTTGCACTGTCATGATAACATCTCCGATGTAAAAATGTCACATCAGCATAACCATAAAAACTCCCGAGTGTGATGCGTGTGTTTGTAACCCGTATATTTGACACATGTGATTGTGACCCATGTGGCTGTGACCCGCATGCCCGTGACCCGTGTGCCCCCAGGCGGTGCGGCGTCACATGCGCGTGGTCTGCAAGTGCCACGGCCTGTCCGGCTCGTGCACTCTGCGCACCTGCTGGCGTAAGATGCCTCTGTTCCGCGACGTGGGCTCCATGCTTCTGGCCAGCTACGACAAGGCTGCACGTGTCGTGCCGGCCAACGATGGCAAGAGCCTGCTCTCGGCCAGCGAGGGTCAGCCGGCTCCGGCGCGCAACACCCTCATCTTCGCCGAGCGCGGTCCCGACTTCTGCCTTCCCAACCGGGCGCAGGGCAGCCTGGGCACGCGCGGCCGACGCTGCAACCGCGCCTCCGGCAACTGCCGCGAGCTGTGCTGCGGCCGCGGCTACAACACGCGCCAGATGAACGTGACGGAGAACTGTAACTGCCGCTTCCAGTGGTGCTGCGAGGTGCACTGCGACCAGTGCACCGTGCTGGAGACCCTGCACTTTTGCCGGTGATCCGCTGGGGGCGCTGGTGTAGCGCCGCGCCGCGCTGAGAGCGAGGCTCGGCAGGCCAGACGGCAGTGGTCCGTGGGGCGGAGGGCAGAGGGAGGAGGGGAGGGAGGAGAGAGGAGGGAGGAGAGCGGGCACTGGATATCGTCGGTCCCAGAGCGACCTCTCGGTCAGCTCGCGGCGGTGTGTGATGACCCGTTTGAGCCCGAGCAGGGCGTTGGCTGCCTTCTTCGGCTGAGTGCGACCTTTCGCTGCCGGTCTGTGGCGAGGCTGTGTATGGCCCGCGTCTGCTGAGACGTGTTAATTATATTGGCAGCAGTGAGCGGTCTGGAGAGTGGCACGTGGGCTCTAATTTACGTGCACCCGCGGTGCTCTGAAGATACTGTGAATCTTGAATGTGCCTTGATTGAGTCTCACTATCATTGTTAGTGGCATTTCGTGAGATGGAAATAATTATGCGAACGAATAATTTTAAATCGTGTTTGATATACATCTTCAGCATGCTTCCATCACATGAGCGATATGAGAAGTTAATCGTTGTGTCAAACGCCACAGCAAGTTCATCCAAAGCGAAGCGGATCATTGACTTCTCCTTGCAGACAGGCCATTAAATCTGAAGCCGCGAGTGAGGTGTGTTCACTACCAAGTGGCACATCAGAATGGCATCTAATTAGTGCAGGCATACTGCAGGGCCGTGCAGCTAGCCCAGGCGTATCATTTACTTAATGTCGGCTCTATGCAAAGCGACGTATGGGCCCCGGGTCTTTACGCCACCATTTATCAGAAGTAAATGCCACGGAACCAATTCCATCTTATTACTCAAGTTATTTATCCAAGAGAAGAAGTCGTTGCTTTTACACACGCATTCCTTCCACCACGAGCTATTTTTAGGGCGACAGTGATTCAGCATTTTAAACTGTCACAGAAATAGGCATAGCATAGGGCTATTTATGTACTCCTGCATTGGTTTCGTTGCATTGGGGGAGTTTTCTCTCCGAAACGATAATTTGATATGCCTACCGAAATAGTTTCTCAAGCGTTTTTGTGACAGATTTTTGCTCTTGGCTCTATTAATGTCAGGTATTATTCGCTTACCGAGTATTATATTTTGTCTGATTCTTAAGCAAAGTTATTGCTTCAACTACTTCAACTAAACTTCAACTACTCAACTCATGTCGTGTAGTTGAAAATATTAAACTCATGGTATATTAACCCGCGCCGGGCCGGTGCTCTGAGATTCCGCGCCGGGCCGCGGGGGGGTGTTTGAACACCCCCTTCTAACTCGGCTCGTGGGCCACGTAGGGACACGCGGTAAGCGGCAATCGAAAGAACGTCAAAAATAAGGACGAAAACACTTTAATCATTTTTTGGGGTCAGATCAAAGGTCAGGTCACCAGAGGTCACCAAAGGTAAAATGTTGACTATTTCAACATTTTGGAAACTGCCAACGGCTATCTCGGGAACCGATAGAGCTACAGCGCCTCAAAAAAGCGCATTCGATAGCCCTTTTATAGACCTTTCTGGGTAATGTTCTCAGATTTGACCTCAGGTCAACGGTTTAGCCTCCAGAGGGCAAAAACTCCAAAAATAGCCGTTTTTACGAAAAACGTTTTTTCGGCAATAACTATTGACTCAAAAGAGCTATGACATTACCTTTGCCAGCATCGTGTTCCTCTCGTCGAGACGCGTCGAATGAACTATAATTTGACCTTGAAAGGTCAACTTGAAAATTTGACTTCAGGTCAAGGTCATGACCTGACCGGAAAAGGTCGTTTTGCATATCAGTCGATCCGCAGCGTCGAGCCGAACACATCTAAGGCGTTTTCAGCGCTCTAGCCCTATTCCTGGCGGGCTCCGCCGGGACAAGAAACTGGCGGGGGGGGGGGGCCGATTCGGCCCCCCCCCTGAGATCTCGAGAACGAAGCAAGATAGCGACAAGCGGTAAACGGCATCGGATACGCACGGCCAAGATCTACAATTTTTACTAAGGTCATTTTCAGGTCAGGTCAAAGATGACGTCACAGGGGTCGAAAAAGTCAAAATGGCGGCACTAGATATGGAGATAGTTTTTCTCGAATAACTTTCGAATTAGTCAAGATAGGAACAAACTAAGGGCATCATCGTGATCCTCTCGTCAATCCGCATCGAATGATATATATGTTGACCTCGAAAGGTCAAGGTCAAAGGTTGACCTCAGGTCACGTGACCTTGAGGTCATCATGTATATCATTCGATGCGTCTTGACGAGCTGAACACAATGAGACCATCCAAGCGTCTGTATCTTGTTCCTGTACGGAGTTATTGGCCAAAAACCTTTGGTGACCTTTGATGACGTCACATGACCTCACAGCTGCCCAACAGCAAAACAGACCTCAAGGTAGTGAAGGTTGATCGTATATGAAGTCATGTATGGTATATGGGGCCATTCCGACCCGTTTTAGTGGTAAAAACAGGGAGTTGATTTTTCCCCCATTGACTTATAATGGGGAGGTCGCGAAATTGACCTGACCTTAGGTCACCGATATCAAAATTCCGAGATATACAAATTGCACATACTGGTACCCTAACTAAACCCTGAAGAGAAGAAATTGATCGGTCAAAAACTCTAGCTCTGGCGTGATTGCAAACTTTTCTGAGGTAGCGTCACCAAACCGCCTCTGGTGACCTGACCTGAGGTCAGATCAACTCAAAATTTTCAGACATGTTGCGTAGAAGCCTTTTAGGAAAAGTCAGAAAATTTGAGCTTCCTAGCTCAACGCGTTTGGGAGATATAACCAAAAAACCTCAGGGGGGGCTCCTGAGGCCCCCCCCCCCCCGCCAGGAATAGGGCTAGCACGCATCTATCAGAAGTTATCATCGACAAACTGTTAGATTCTGTTCGTGACCTGAGATGACCTCGGGGACATAACGCGGGGTCAGAGTTGCCATTTTCTGGTTCAGTGTGTCTATTTTACCTACATCTCGATGTTTGAGAGTGTCTAGAATAGCGTTCGTGCAAAACAGACGCTTTTCAATTTCCTCCCATTGACTTATAATGGAGAGGCCGCAAAATTGACCTGAGCTTAGGTCACCGATATCAAAATTCCGAGATATACATTTTATAGATAGTGTTGCTCTTATCAATCGCTGAAAGTTTCAAGGCAATCATTCAGTCGGTGTAGCTATGACGAGCATTCTTATTTTTTCTGAGGTGAGGTCACTTGGCGTGACCTGGTGACCTGACCTAAGGTGACCTGGGTCTGAAATTTTCACAACATGTGCGGAAAAGATGCACAAACAGGTGTGCCAAAAACGATATCTGCGAAAAACCGCAAGGGGGGTGTTCAAACACCCCCCCCCCCCGGCCCGGCGCGGGTTAAATGATGCATCGAAATGTTTTCTTAACCCGCGCCCCACTGGGGGGGGGCTATTTATAGCCCCCCCCCCCTCCCGTTTTTCTGCAATAACTTCCAAACCGCTTGACGGATCGACGCCAAACTTTCAGTACCTTCGGCTGCATCAATTTGACACCTTGTGTCAAAATTTGAACTTCGTAGCTACCATAGGTCGGCCGGAAATGACGTCAGAGTGACGTCATGTTCGTCCGATTTCGACGCAAAACATTGAACCACGGCAATCGCTCCCAAGAGCTCAGTTTTGAAGCTAGATCCAATTTCTTTGCATGAAAGAACTCAGAATTGACCGCGCTATCAAACTGCTATCTCGGATTTTCAAAATTTTGAAAATTTTGAAAATTTTATATAATAATATTCAAAATTTATATTTTTATATTTTTTTCAAAAAGTTTTTGATTTTTCGAAAAAAAACGGAATATATGTGACAGAACGCATGATTATGACTAACTCTAGCAAGTTTTAGCTAAATATCTTCAAAAATGGCCAAGTTATACGCATTATTGCAAAAAATTCACAATTATTAATTTTTCAAATAAGTTTTTCAGTACGTATTTGGCATCGTACACCAATATAAATGGCACCATCGTGTTCCTGAGCTCAAACTGCATCCAATAGACACCTTTTTTGTTGAAAAATTTCAACTTCAAAATTTGACCTTTTTTGACCTGAAAGTGACCTGACCTAAGCTAAATTCGACTCAAAATGACCTCGAATGACATAGACGACATCAAATTCGAAATCTATGGCCTAAATGGACCATAAAACATGTGTCACGTGACCGACGCATGATATAATATTTTCGTGACCTGTGATGACCTGACCCTGACCTGAAAAGCAAAGTACAAGTTTGGTACCCTCAAGGTATCTAGAGCATCTGTTCACGAGTGTGGAAACCAAAAATGAGCCTGATCTGACTTGTAAGACGGCGGCCAGAGCCCAAAATGTGAACAAGCCAAAGTGCTAATAATTTTTACTTTGACCTGACCTGTGACGTCATCGGTGACCTCGAGGTCAATGAAATTAGGTTTCGCTCGACAGTTTTTCCGGGGCTATCAGACGCCGTTTGAATTTTGACGATCGGCCCAGTAGTTTCGGAGTTAGGAGGGGGGGCTATGAATAGCCCCCCCCCCCAGTAGGGCGTGTTATACACAGACCCCAGTGGGGCGCGGGTTAACTTCGATAAGAATACTGTGGCGAGAAACACTACGCTCCTCGTCGGAAAGACAAACAACTGTGAGGTACGAAGTAGAAAAAAAATTGAGGAACTTCAATTATCTCGCTGACCTCCAGCCCTTGCACACATCCAAACAAGACCTACGGTTTGGTGAAGCTGCCACTGCCGCCACCGCGTCATTGCGTTGTTCTTAAGTTCATAGAAACTCAGAATAACGACATAAGAAATGATTCATTGTAGTAAAAAAAGATTGTTCCTTTACTTTGCCATCAAAACAGCATCATCGCTAAAAATGAATACCTAATGTTGCCTTACAGTAACTACGTAGAACCACACCTCTCATGAAAACCTTTCATTGACATTTCACGCTGTGCAGTGTGCACCCCAGCGCACACAATTCACATGCATTGAGCAGCTAAAAACGCACCAAATTTCCACCGTTTTCTTTTATTCAAATGCCACGTGTTCTCGCGGCGCCAGAAGCAGTAGTGTCGGAGTCAGCGACTGTAAGAAAACATGTTTGAAATAATACTACTGCGCCTTATCGGCGTCTGAGAACACGTGCCACAAGTTAATTGCCATCCATCGCACAAACGGTGCTGTTATTCATGTTTCACCGTGAGCGGATTCGTTTCAATGATCAGCTTTAGCTAGTGGGCTTACAACCGAGCCAGATGCCGTAAAAGGCTAGAACGGTCTGTCGAGTGCATGTCCCGACCATGCATACATCCGCGATCAGCGAGCTCGTCGCACTCTTTTATTGAGCAGCCGGCCCTGAGCAGCGCTTTTCTTACATCACCACCATGGAGAATCCGGCCGCGCTGCTGGCCGCCACTGATTTCCAGAAGGCTGAAAAATGCCCGCTGATTTCCAGAAGGCTGAAAAAATGTAGCGGAAGACCACACGC